AAATATAAGACAATTTATAGGGGCATTCACTATAAACGTAATTGATTTTCACTGTTAAGCATACACGACTTTCTGGCGAAAGTGAAACTAATAGCCTGAGTGAAATGTGCTAGGCTGTACTGTACTCATTCTGCACCAGTACAAATATGTGAATGCGTTGCACGTGTTTTGCTTGCTTGAGTGTTTCTGCATTATATGAGTAGCTTTGGAAAATAAATCGCTGCACGTTTCAGATGAAAAAAACTTGACTTCTATTTATTGAAATATCACAGTTAGGAGATTTATAGCGAGTGGTTCCCTGCATTTTTACAGCAAAGCGCGTGATTACAGTACTAAGCCGCTGCAATGGAGCAGATCTAATGCTATTAAATTAAAGATGATGTAGGCTACCATAGAAAGAGATAAAAATTAACAGTGGAAGTAACAAAAACTTGCAAAATACATTTTAATGAGAAAAATTAAGTGTGAAAATAACAAAAGGATATACAGTCAAACCAAAAATTACTCAGAGACCAGACCAGGTGTAGGACACTAGTTAATTTATGTAAAGTGAGGATAGCAAACTAAACTGTGATATATTATACCAAACATTTCTTCATACAGTGGACTATCAGTAAAATTGATACAAATTTGGGACCAAAAATGATTCAGACCGAGTCTGGGAAAAAACTGAAGTTCAACTTTGCCTGAAGCTGGATGACAGCATGCCCAGGAGACTACAGGCTGTCATTAAGGCTAAGGGTTGCCCGACTAAGTATTGATAGTTGTGTAAATATTGACAGCTGTATGAATAATGTTTGGTTTATTGTAATCCATTACATATCTTTCTATCAACGGTATCTGACATTATCTAGCTGAATTTGTTCTGACTCCGTTTAATTCTGAGTTCTTGTCATATTTTATTACCATTTTCTAAACTATAGCGAATAAACTGTGATAATGTGAGAAATGTTGAAGGTGTCTGAATAAATTTTGGTTTGACTATATCTATTTGATAAATGAAGTTAACCAACTAACATTATACATACTCTTTTGGTTTCTGTACCCAATATTTAAAAAATTTACAAATGCAACGAAAATATTGGTATCGGTATCGGCAAGTACCAAAAATAAAAGTACCGGTATCGGGCAAGTACTGGAAAAAGTGGTATCGGTGCATCCCTAATTATAACAGTTAGGCCTAATAATGTTGACAGTTTTACCATCAGTTTGAGCCCGAGTCAGATTCTGAAAATGCAGACCAACTTTGCAACTTTGCAAAACCTGCATATGACACTGTCAGTGTGAAAGCACAACAGGTGCGTGCTGTTTCAGCTCTGCTTGAGCATCCAGTGTGAAAAAGAACACTTAGGGTGGGTTGCACCAACAAGGATTAAATTAAACAAAGTTTAGAGCTAATCAAGGATTTGTTGATCTGGGTTTTTATTTTAAATCGAGTTGTGTTGCACCACTTAATTTTAAACACAGATGAACAAATCAGGGATTAGAATTCTAACATGCGATTAAAACCTCCATCTACGATTAATTTTCTCAGCCATGATGGATTTGCCATTGCAATTAAACAAGAACAAAATGAATATTCCTTAAATCCGTAGAGAGACCGTTATTCAAATGGCTGATCAAGCAAGCAATTAATACATTTAGGCAGTGCATACGGATTTCATAATCTTGGAAATATATTTACAGTATCAATATAAGAGAAAGAGTACATATACATAAGAGTATAGCTTATGACAAAACAGCCGAGATAAGAGAAAACAACTGGCATGATTCCCAGAGTGACTTTCTCTGCTCGTGACAGCGGCGTCCCGTCCGTTTGATCGCCGTATAGCACACGTGTGGAGCGGCCGTGAGAAACGATCGTGTCTTCTTTTCTTAGTTGTACGCCGAGATGCACC